CAAAAAATATACAATCAATAATCAAAACAAAGAAAACATAAAAGATATAAGTAGGTTTAACCAAGCATTTAATTCAACAATATAGTTAAAATTTATAAAAAGGGAAATACTTCACCAGCAATGATGCCAAACACTTAATGGGGAATGTGGAGTGCAATTCTGAATTATGAAAATGTTTAAGGCTCTATCTTTCCTAAATGATACTTATGTTTTCTTTGATATATAAAAATAACAAATCCCACTTAATATATGCAAGTATATATGTTGAATCAAGTAATAAAGAAATATAGTAGATATCAAACCCACGAGGAAGTATGCTTTCTAACAATCAACTACTACTGTTTACTCTAACTGTAAAATTATCCCACTGAAATAAAAATGTTGATTACAGAGATTCAATCACTGACTAAAAATAGTTAAAGATAATGGATATAATATTTACATAAAATATTTTGGATTGATGAATGTATATATATTTTTTTCTTTCATAATGAACTCTTATTTGTAATGTTATTCTGAACATATATATAGCTAGATCTCTGTCGAGCTTGTAGGGTGAAAGGATAGTTGCTGATCTCCTATATTTATATTGTCTCCTTAAGAATCTAGCATATTGTACCCTATATCTAGGTATACAAACATACTATTTCAATATTTCTAGTTGTTCTTGCATTCCTTCATCGAGGCTATACATCAAACTAGATTTTTATTATACATATGACCACTATGTGCATTAATAAAAAGTAAAAAAATATTTAAAATAACATTTAATTTTAGAGCACAAGAATCTTTATTAATACTTAATATGTTCTCTACATCATCAATCTAAAACTAAAGAATTATCCAGACATAAAAGAAAAGATAAGAAAACTATTTTTCATTGAAATCATAGAAGAATATAAATACAAGAGAATAATATCACTAGAAAAGATCAATATATCTCATCTACACTCCTTCCTTGACATTCAGAGTTGCTCACACAAACAATGACTAAACACTCTAATGATTGTATCTAACAAATCTCTAGTCTCCCTTAGAATTGACTCTAAGAGAGATATTAAGAAGTACCGTGAAAAGTACTGAAATAAGTCAAGTGACTGAACTCTCTTACAAACATAACACAATGATTATTTATTAGAAAATATAAATTAGGCAACTAGCGCAGCGATGCTTGAAAGATTGGTTCTGGAGTGCCCATAAAATAAATTAACATTGCTGCACTAAGTTTTTTGCTATGCGGTGGTGGTTGCTAATGTGGATCAGTTACTTATTGAACACTCACATCACTTCGATGGAAGATCATAACCTTTGAAAGTTATAACTACTACACCACGACGCTGTTGACATTCGAATGTTGCGTCACTCAATAGAAGGATTAAATTTTCTTAGTATTCTGGAGATGGTGACGATTTTTTATACTGATCATCGTCAACATGGTGGTTGTCGGCAATGATGGCTAAAAAATGTAAGAGAGTTTTCTATATTCTTTCACCCATTTTTAGGTGAAGAATGGGGCATTACTTATAATTTTTTTTGGGATAGGCATTTTGGTACTTGAACCATAATCCAAAATTTTTCATCGTACGACCCATATTGATTTTCTTGATCATGAAAATTTTATTCACCATTTAAGTGCCTTAATGATGTCAAAATTGAGTGATCTTGGGCTTATTAAATTCATCTTATCAAGCTGTTAGATTTGATTGTAAGCATGTCTAATATAATGATCAGGAGCACTGCTTGCTAGATCAAGAGCACTGCTTGCTAGATCAAGAGCACTGCTTGCTGGATCAAGAGCTCTGCTTGATGGAATTTCAGGTGGGCTTGGAATCTTTATTGGACTAGGTGGAGTAGGTGGAGATGAATGAGGTCCAGTGGTGGATTCTTTCTGTGTACTGATTGGTGGTTGGGTCGGAATTATAGTTGGGCTGGGCATCCTAATTGGACTGGCTGAAGTAGGTGGAGATGGAGAGGAGGACTTAGAAGAGATCTTTGTGGTTGTCTATGAAAATGGTGCAAGTTGGAGATGTTCTCTTGCTGGATAATGCAAATAACTATGAAATAAAGTATTCTCATCATCTGTGATTCCTTGTAAATGGTTGATAATCTGAATAAAAATAATATATAGTCAAATGAAATATATAATTTTATCATACATTTAAATGAAAACACGTAGTTATGTTATCTCATGATTTTGAAGGTCTACAAATATATTGTTCACGTCTTTCTCACTGTACATAAAATTACCATCCCACCGAGTAAAACGTGGTCGGAAATGTTCATCCTCTATGGTGTGGATCGTTGTATGTTCAAGAAACCATATCTGCAAAAATAAGACCATATAAATATGTTTAATCATGCCAAAATTAACCTTTACCATTAGTTAAATTGAACAAAAATACATGTACTCATAATTATAATTATGACAAATCCATTGACGTATCCCAGTGAGTAGCCTTTCAATTGTTTATTTGTTATTGTATTGAATTCATTCACCAGGAAACCCTTAATGGATTATGGCCAGATGTATGTATTAAAGTTATCAACATTTTCTACAACGTCTAGGATTGCAGTTGGTATACGGAAGTTAGCTACTTGATAAAATAGGTTGGATAATAAGTAAAAGATGGATTCTTTCACTAATTCTTCCATCAGAGTTGAATCATCCATTTTCTCAATGTCATGACGAATGTCATTGGCTATTTTTCCACTGACTCTGGCATTGCCTACCTCAAATATAATACCTCGATTGGGCAAGCCTATGATCTGGGCAACCTCATCAGATGTGAAATCTAACTTATGTCCATTAATAACAAAACTCTCTGTCTTTAAATCTTACTTCGATAACAGCATATACACAAGTGAAACATTCTGAGGGATTGGAGGAACAATCAGGAACTGACTTATTTGTAGCTGACACAGTCTTCAACAAATTGATCTTTGAATTTCTGAACTAGTTGATTACAAACTTCTCTAAAAGTCGAAGTTCGACATCTGAAATGAATCTTTGGAGAATGTCCATGCATAACATATAATAAAAAAATAATATCCAAAGCTTATACCGAGTATTAAAGACATTAGGTACCGAGCAGTACATAACATGTTATATAGCAATGATAAACATGATTTGGAGGATATATCTAAACTTATACCGAGTAATAATTTTGAATATCGAGCAGTACCGAGCAATATTACAGTGCTTCTAATCCATTCATATCCAAAGCTTGGAAAAATTTTAACTAAGTACTAAATATAAAATATATTACGTAACAACGATAAGCAATATTTGGAAGATATATCTAAGCTTATATCGACTAATATTTTTAAATACCGAGCAATACCGAACATTATTAGAGAGCTTTAAATCTGATTCATATCCAACCTTAACAAAAAATTTCACTCAGTACTAAATATAAAATATATTATATAACAACGACAAACAATAATTTGAAGGTATATTTAAGCGTATACCGAATAATAATTATGAATACCGAGCAATACCGAACAAAATTACAGATTTTTCTATCCGATTCATATCAAACCTTTTCAAAATATTTCACTCGGTACAAAATTAATAATATATTATATAACAAAGATAAACATTATTTGAAAGATTTATGTAAGCTTATATCGAGTAACTTTCAATACCGAGCAGCACCGAGTAATATTACAGATCTTTCTTTCCGATTCATATCAAACATTTTCGAAATATTCCACTCAGTACAAAATATATACTATATTATATATTAGAGATAAATATTATTTGGAAGATTTATCTAATCTTATACCGAGTATAAATTTTCACTACCGAGCAGTACCAATCGTGTAAACCTAATAATCACTATTGTAGAAAACATATTTCTAAATGCAAAAAAATTTACGTATATTTTTCCAACAATATTCACTATTTTAAAAATATCTTCATGTTCAAACCGAGCGATACCGATCGGTAACAAGAAATACCAATATGTACTGAGTAGTACCGACAACGAAGCTTCGATTGATTACAGATGTTTTTACACAAGAGATTGAAAGTTTTACAGCAACCATTACTATTTGTAAGTAAATCATAGCCCTAAACATTTTATATGAGAAAAATTATTTGTTTCAGAAAAAAACCAACTAACATGAGGCATTGTTTCTCTGAAGTTAATCAATTAGAAAGTTGCTTCTGAATGACGCCGGAAAATGCTTGTGAATGCGAAGAAAATGAATAGTTGCAGGAAAAAAGCTTCGTCTATGAAAATGGTAAACCGAAGTGAATAGCCTATGCTTTTTATTTAAAAAATTACCATAATTTTTCGGGTCCGATGGTCGGGCCGTCATCATTCAAAATACGCATGTGCTATAAACCCAATCTTCACCGGGCTGGGTCCACCTTAATGGGCAAGCTACGTGGCGCCATATAATAGGTGTCCGGATGTAGAGCTACATCAGGACACCAGACCTAATAAAAATTCCTATACTTCAAACCAAATTTAAAAAAAGAGTAAAGTCACATATTCCTTTTATACTCATCTAACTGTATTTATTTTTCAAGCAACCAAACAACTCATTAATCCTCATATATTTTGTAGAACTCACTAATCATTTTTAAGATTCTCTTAAAAATGTTTGTTTTCCTATACTTAAAATAATTGAATATAAGTTCATTATTTTTTAAAATAAAAATTTCAGCTTTCAAGAATCAAATGATCTTGTAGTTGAAAAAGTAATTTATTTATTTCTGATTTGTTATTTTTTCAAAATAAAAAAGGGCATGCTTAATTCTAATTTTTATTTTATTTTTTTAATTTTTATTCAATAAATTTTTTTGTAGGAGTTCATTTCTCTTATATTTTTATATTGGATGTTTTGGATAATGTTTAACAATTTTCTAAAAACATGCTATTATTTTGTAAAGTAAAAAAATATGATAAAAATTTCAATATAAATAGTTATTTTTTAAATATAAATAAAAATATGGCAAAAGCCCTTAATTTAATTTTAATACAAATCAATATCGCCTTGGCAGGAGGGAGTGGCTTATCTCTATTTTTTGGTATCGCCGGCTTTCATCTTGTTTTTATCTCAGGACCGCGGCGTAGATGCAGCAGCGGATATAGCGCAAGGGGATGCTTACCCTTACCTCGATGGCCTCTTCTTCCATGTAAAGCCCTTCTCTTTGCCTTTTATAACGCATTTCTACATCTCTCTATTCAATTTATCTGTTGTATTGCTTATTTTGTTGTTCTTCAATCTTAAACAGCTTGAAACCCTTCAACTCATAATGCCATTGTTTGGTGCTTGAAATCCACTCCGGAATCTAAGCCATAAGATGCTAGTTTGCTTTCGTTGCTAATCTTTAGAACAAACTTGTCTGTAGTAGGGTGGCTTTAATTGTTTGCCTAAATGTAGGGTCTTTCATCTTTATCTCGTTTTCTGGAAGTCAATCTTGGCATTAGGCCAATCGGGAATTGATTCTTTCTTCTGGCTTTAAAATCTCAACTTTTTTTTTTTTAAAACTTGCTGATTGTTCATTGTAAGTAAAAACATACAGTAATGAATTTGCGTGCTTCCTCTTTGGCTTTATGTTTAAATTTACTAAATCTTCAAGTTAGAGAGGTAAACGTTTGGTGCATGATGCATCTCTTAAAGTTCTTTTGTTTTATACGGAACTTATGTCATAAAACTAGTTGGTAATGATTTCAGGTATGGGGGAAAACACTTGATTGACAAAGGAAATTCCACGTAGCATCTAGTTGATTGTTTATCCTCCATAGTTATATATAGACGTGCCAATACTTGTTAAATTGAAAAGTTGTGAAAGTCAAATTTTGTAGGATATTCTTATATTAGATCTAGTTTCTTTTTGGGTACCACTCAATGATGGTGAGAGTTGAAGCTCTCACTACACACTTTATGAGGTGGGGGGAATACCATCCTAGTAGCACTCATTGATGGATTATTTTTTAGGTTGTTTTATATTTTACGCTTTTTTAAATTTGTCCATATTTTTAGGTATTGAGTAGGGTTAACTTTTGTTCTTTAGCACATTTTTTTCTTAATCTCAATGCAATTTAAGATCCACATTTAGATGATTTTTTATTCCAAATTCAAATAAGATCACCAAGTGGCTTGTGATAGGCTTTTATAATGGAGTTTTCGGAGGCAAGGGGACAAGAATAAGAAGGTTAAGTTCATGTAGTTTGGCCTACCATGGGACATGTTATGACAAAGCAAAAAATAACTTATATAGCATGCGATGAATTGTTATATTTGGTATCAAAGTTGAACCTCTAGTATGATGTGTGTTTTGGGGATGAGCCAAGCGGAAGCTAATCTCCCATGACATCTCGAATCTTAATGCAGTGGTTCAGAAGAGGGTAGGGACTAGGGAGTTATTGCTTGGGGCAGAGGTTGGGACAAGAAGTAGCTCCTAGCAAGCTTTTAGAATGACAAACTTCTATGAGAAAAGTGAACCAAATCCTACATTGAGAAGGGAGGAAAATTAATTAGGTTATATAAGTAAATGTTTAGAAAAAATGTGTGTGGCGTACTAGATGGGGTTCTTTAGGAACTCCAAAGTCAAATGTGCTCATTGGAACACTCTCAAGATGGGTGACCTCTTGAGAATTTGCAATAATAATAGTAAAATGATGAGATATAGCCTAATATTAGATAAATTATATTAAGGTGGACACCTCATATAGTGTGTTTTGGGTCATTATAGGTGATTTCAAATTTATTTCAAGCATCTATGCTATTTTTGACTAGTTTTGTATTGAAGACATTATTTTGGTCAAGATCTAGGATATGTTTTTTTTTTTTTTCTAGTTGTTAGTTGAGCTTTTGGGTTTGAGGTAGTCCATTGTGGAAACCAATGTCTTGTGTTCTCTCTATATTGTACCATGTAATCCATTTGATCTAAAATTGATTTGCTTTCATCTTTCTTCAGAAGCCTAATACATCTCGTTGATTGGCATTGTCAAATATCCGAGCGTAGGCCACCTAAAGTTTACTTTGGACTAAAGCCAGGTTGGTATTCTCTTATTTCATACTATATTATGTGCATTCTTTATTGTTTTACAGTGGATAATTATTAGAAATAAATTGGTTTTAAACTCATTATTGCGTTAGACTTGGTTTTTGATATGGGGAGTAATTCATTTATGAGATTGCAACATCACGTAGGACAAAATAAAGGTCCGGAGGTTTAAACAGGTGTGAAAAGCCAGCTTCAAAAACTGATATAAGGTTAGTAGCTCTTTGGAAAATAACTTTTGGGCATTTTAAAGGATCACTCATATTCTCTATAGAGCGCAACCAACATGCGGACATGTGCAACTCCAATTGTAATTGATGTAGGGATCCTATTCTAATAATTGCCTTAGTTCTATTTTTGGACAATAGCTTGAATATGCTTCTGATGGCCATATTAGGAAAGTAGATGTATTAGATGTGGTCTATATTTAGAAAGGTAGAGGTAGACCTAAAAAGACTTGGTTAGAAAATATTAAAAATGACTTTATTTTATTAGATTTAAATGAGAAATTGACTCTTAATAGTACACAATGTAGAAAAAAGATTCATGTAGCCGGCCCGACGTAGTGGGATAAAGGCTTGTTGTTGTAGCTTGAATATGCACACTCTTATTGCCCCCAAGGATGTTTGCAATCCAAAGGCGAAAAAGCCAAACAAGTGTTACTTGTTTAAAGTATATTATTTCTTCTTAACCCTCTATGACAAATACACATATCCTGAAGCATTTATATCTGAATTCCTGATTGAAGTCCTAATTTTAATGCCAAAGAAAGTCAAGAGCAGCAACTGCTTTTGGCATTAACATGAATTAGAAATTTGGTTTGCCACTTGAATTCATGCATCACATTAGACGGTTGAACTTTGTTTCAGAATGCCTGGTGTTATAAGGAGAATGACAGCTTCTCTAGGGATGATATAATCATTGTATCCTCATAACTCTTTGGCAACATGGACACCCTGAGCTGATTAAAGCTTGATGGAGGATTGCTTATCTTGAATGTGGGATACACTTTACTTTCATATCAAGGATGGCCAGTATGCAGCTTGAGATTTCTGCGGTGATTAATTACTTAGTTTTTTCTAGTTTTTCCCGCATTTATAGCGTGCATTTATGCATGGTTTTACATGTGTTAGGGTTATATTCCTGCATATTCCTGCATATTCCTGCATACAATTCAACAGCAGTTTTACCATTGGAACCTGTTTTGCGGCTGGTCTATAAACTTCAATAATCTGTCATTATCTTGAATGTTGTATGCTCAAATCGAACTCTTTGGTTGTGCATGATACACTAAGGCTTTCTTCTCTGCTGTATGAGGCGGCCTTAAGCTAGGTGCATGATCATTTGTGCATATACAGACTACTTCAAGTCATTAACAGACTTTGCAAATAAATTTGGAGGGTGGGCCTAGAGCATGATTTGGTGCCTTCATTGTGATTTGGAGGTCATGGGATTGAATCACAAAAAAGAATCTCTCTAGAATGTAAAGGCAAGCCTACTTATATCAGCCACTCTCTTGAAATCTCTTCACTATGTACTTCACAATTAAATTTGACTCATCTTCCTTTACTTGAGGCTGGGCCTAGAGCATGCTTAGGTGACTTCATTGAGATTTCAAGGTCATGGGTTTGAATCATGAAAATGGCCCTCAGCAATGTAGGATCAAAAGTGAATATATGAACTTCTTTCTTCAAACCACAGGCACCTTTACTTGATGTAGCAACGTGAAGGACCTTGTTTGACTGACTGAGCCACATGTATCTCTTGAAATAAAAAAGCCAGAACGCAAATGTATTTTTCTGTGAAAAGCAAAGAGGGTTGGTTAGAGCTTTTCTTTACCTGGCCTAGAGGACAAGGAGAGAAAGTGAAGGGGATGTAAGAAATTTGGCAAGGTTGGTAATGAAAAAGAATAGCGGCAGAGTTGTGTTATGATTTATGAACATACCTTTTCTCTTGTCGCATACTTTTGCCACACTCTTATACTGCACTTGTCTTTTCCGGTCATTTGGAGGACATGTGTAGCCATAGCAGATGCTATTGCTTGAAGATAAACTTAATAAAAGAAATTGCAGTGGGTTTACTAGTTTTTCCACTTCTAATGGGTTGATTTAAGAAAAGCTGTGTAATTTGAACGTATGATCTGGTCGCCTTGTCTTCACCTAAAGAAGCTAACGAGGATAATTATAGATAACATAAGTTCTATATGCATCCAAGGCTCTAGAATAAAAGTAGATTATTCAGTAAATGCAAGTATATTTTATATCGACAAGGATAGCTACTTTGGCATATGCATTTCCAAATATTCTAGCCATAATTCTTCACGTGAAAGCACGTGTTTTCTCTGTGAATATTTTTATCCATAAAACTCCAAACAAACTAATAAATTGTGGGCAAATAAATTTATTGCTCTATTTTTCTAGCAATTTATTGAAAAACTCTCATGCCAACTTCTAGTTCTAAAACTATATGTTTTTAGGTGTTGTTTTCTTACTTCTATTTCACCTAAAAGTTCAGAAGTTAAATTGCAAACATACCCTGCTATGAACTTAGGCATTCAATATAAATATTTTCTATTCAGAAAACTAAATGTCATCTTTTTGTGGGCTCCAAAAATTTGTGCCCTGACTCTGTTGAGGAGTTTTTGGTAGTTTTGGTTCAATTTTTTTGAAGGTAAATTAGGTTGGAGATAAGACGCTAGTAAGATATTTCGCCCTTTTTTCATGAGGATTTTATGATATGATTCTAAATTTCTTATAGGTATAAGTTCCTATGGATAAGGAGCCCTTTCAGTGATGAGAGAGAACTTTTGATTAACAGTAGTTGTTATAAGCTAAATATGTTGGTATAGTAGCAACAAATTTGGTATAGGATTTGAAGTCTATCACCTTATACTTAAAGCGGATGGTAGGTAGAATAATGATCTCATGATTCCGTCATCACGAATTGCCATGGTCCCTAGTCTACTTAGTCAGAGGAGGTAGTTGACTCAATATGACCTAAGGATTGTTGTCGTTAGCCATGAATTACTTCATCTAAAAGATTATTGTAGACTAGGGATTGATGTTTGTCTAAGGGGACAAATTTAAGTTGTCATTAGATAATAGAGGGTTTTGTGCTCTATCAAAGGCACCCTATAATTTATTATTCAAGAGTTTTTAGCTATTGGGGAACATGTGGTTTTGTTGTAACTGTAATTTAATATTGCCATTTCATAGCTAAACCACTTAGACATAACCATTTATTTGTATTGTCATTTGATAGTAAAACTACTGGTTAGAAAACAAGTGTCACATCCTTATTGATGAGAGATCATTTGAAAATAAATCATAATGAAATGTTTGATAAGATAGTGTGAGTCAAGGTTATTCTTGAATTTATCATCCTGATAAATGATTATGGAGGATGGATGTATTTTATTTGTTTTGAGTGTTAAGGCAATAAGTTTAACTTGTATTTTATTTGTTTTAAGTGTTAAGACAATAAGTTTAACTTGTGAAATTTTCACATTTTTTTTAGTTTTGAATCTTGTAATTTTTTTTTTTGTTTAAATGTTGCTCCAAATTGATTTGTATTGGGATTTGGGGGTTTTTTTTGAAAAAAGATATGCTTCAATTGATATTTGATCTCAACATGACCATGATCTAGTTATTCGAACGATTTTTTTTGTTACTTAAACTTTTTCAAATCTTCCTGCTTGCCAGTAGAGTATCGGGTTCACAAATTAATATTATGAGTTGCCAATGTGGGCTCCGAAAATTCGGCTCCGGCCTCCCCGCTGCTTTTCTTTTTATTCGGCGAGGGACTTTTAGCTGACTAAGTTCCGGGGTAAATTTTGGAAGGCAGATGGGTTTGTAGATAAGACACTACCCAGAGATTTTGCCCTTAGTTGCTTCGTCCAAGGGGACCTTGTAGACCTGGGATGGGTATTTGTCTAAGGGGATAAATTTGAATCCACCTTAGCTTACAGAGGGCTTTGTGCCCTATCAATCATATCATATTGCTTCATATCTCAAGGATTTGATGCCATTAAGGAACACATTGGCTCTGGCCTTAACCGGTATTTCGTGGTGCCATTTGGCCGCAAAACCACGCGGTTCAGAGGGCCCCGGATCGTCATAACCGTTTATCCTGCGGTGCCATTTGGCGGCAAAACCGCCAGTTAGAGGACACGTACCACGTCTTTATTGGCAGGAGATTGTTTGAGAATGGATCCTAGTAATATTTTTGACTAGGCATTTGGCTCTTTGTGAGCTGAAGTAAATTTTGATTTGTCCACCCTGACAAACTGTTGCGGAGGGTGGATCGATTTTGTTTTAAGCAATCGATAATTTATTTCAATTTTAAATATTTTGGAGTTTCGGGATTTCTGGAATTTTTGCAGGCTTTGAGTGGCATTCGAAAATATTTGTGAACCCCTCCGGTTGAGATAAACATTCAACACGGCCATCATCGGGGTGTTTGGGGGTCATTTCCATTTGTTTGATTGAACATTGTCGACTCTGTTTGGCTGCCGACAGAGGATCAGATTCCTCGTAAGCTTCGTGCCTTTTGTTCATGAATTTTTCTTGTTGAAGGCCTTGAAGGCCGAATATGAATGTACAAAATAAATATTTCGGTCAACTTCGTGACCGCATATTTATCTGATGATTCGAACATTGCCTACTCCTATTTATCTACTTAGGAGGATCGGGTTTCATAGGCTTCATGCCTATATCAATGAATTCTTTTGATTGTAGATTTTAAAGGCTTAATATGAATGCATTGAAACAAATACATCGGTTCCCACAACCATGTGTTTGTTTGAAGGTTCGAACCCTGTCGACTTCTATTGATCCGTATAAAAGGATCAGGTTCGAACTAGAATTCACTTATCGACCTGCGCAACATCCTTAGGCGTCACGTGTGTACCAATAACACGCTCACCGGGGCCCATGCGGGTTTGGGGGCATTTTATAATTAAACCCTGTCAACTCCTTTTTACCTTCTAAGGAGG